AGATGGCACCTTGGGAAACCGACACAGCGACCACTTGCGCCTTGTGCAGACAGAAACATTGGCCTCTCTTGAAACTGCTATCACTGCAGCTCCACCACAGTTGGAGCCACCGCTTCATCATGCGCCAACTGTTCCAGAAGTGCCTCACCAGGAACAGCTACCTGGAACTAGCTTCTCAGGGAGTAGCTGTGCCACGGAGAGCGACGGGACTGCGCTCAACAGAGGTGTGCATGTGAACAGTGACTCTGTCGTGCCTACGCCTAGCACGCCGAAGTTGCGACGTGGCACAAGAACTAGGAAACCGGTGAATAGGTACTCCCCGTAGTCTTCCTCCTAAGAGGGGAGGAGTGTTTCAACGTTGGCTCAAATGCAGCGCCCCCACGCGACGCTGATAGTTGTGTTGAGCTGTGCAAGCCTGGCACAGCGACGGAGTGGCCGTTTCGGAAACAATAAACCATAGTTCGTTCTGGGCAAAGGGCTCAACATGTTCTCGTGTTCTTCGCGGGCCTAATGGCCTACTGTTCACGGTAGTTACTACCGCCTGGCCATCAGTTAATCTACACATGTAACAGAAGCGACATACGGACGGCGACTGCTTTATCGCGCCCCATTACAAGATGCAAATGCCGAAGATGACGACAACACAGCGTTTGTCGGTGTTGTCAATACGTCTACAATCGTACACCAGCAACGGGACGACCCCAAGTTGCAACCCTTTATTGATTTCTTGGAGAGACGCACATCTGCTATGCCAAAGCTCTTCACAAGAGGGGTAGCACTGTTTTGTTTGCGCAACGAGGTATTATACAAGGTGAGCTTTTCTCCGAGCGGCAACACCTACTTACTTGTCATCCCAACACCACTCCGGAAAGAAGTGCTAGAGGAGTGTCATTTAGGCTACCCACGAACGCTATGCCGAGTGATACAGAATTACTATTGGCCGAGACTGACCGCAACCGTTCAACAGCACGTTCGGACTTGTCTTGAGTGCCAACGTAGGAAAGTGCCAGCCGTCAGACCAGCAGGGCTCCTCCATCCAATTTATGTACCGGAAACTCCATTTGCTCAAGTCGAAATGAATCTTCTAGGACGATTTCCAACTCTGGCTGCTGGTCGCAAATGAATAATTGTAGCCACAGACTATCTCACTCGCTACGCCGAAACCAAGGCTTTGGAGCGGGGCACGGCCAGTGAAGCAGCCCGGTTTTTCATTGAGAATATAGTCCTGAGGCATGGCACTCCATGTGTAGTAATAACTGACAGAGGAAAAGCATTCACAGCCGAGCTATTACACACAGTTTCAAGCCTAAGTGGAACATCTCACCGGCGTAACACAGCATACCATCTACAAACAAATGGTCTGACAGAACGGCTGAGCAAAACCCTTGCGGATATGCTTCGCATGTACGTCGATGTGGAGCATAAGATACTTCCTTACGTCACTTGCGCTTACAATACGGCACAGCAAGAGAGAACATGCATGACACCATTCTGTCTTCTCCATGACCATGACGTCACAACCATGCTCGATGCTATGTTGACCCATAAAAACGATGGCGTTGAAACAATTGCAGACTACATAACTCAGCTTGCTGAAGAAGCCTGCCAACTTGCCCGCATACGTATTCGTTGACACCAGGACTTTGACACAAGGCACTACAATCTTTGTCACCAGCCAGTCTCCCATGAACCAGGAGAGAAAGTTTGCATCTGGACCCCAGTTCGCCGTCGTGGCCTCTCAGAGAAGCTCTTAAGGCAGTACTTCAGGCCATATAAGGTCCTTTGGCGTCTCAGTGGTGTTAACTATGAGGTTATTCCCGACAGCCCACATTGTTCAAGGCGTCAATGACATGCACCAGAAGTTGTGAACGTAGTTCGGATGAAGCCTTATTTGTACAAATGAACCTGTGAGCTGCAAGTGACCACATATTCTGCCGTCATGATAACGAAGCATCAGGATGACGCCTTCTTGAAAAGGAGGCTAATGTCACGATTAATGTCACGGTTTTTGAGCTTGTGTGAGACTAGAGCCTTGCTGTTCTCCCAGAAACATAGCCTTGTGTCCTCTTCTTTCCACGTTGCGACAATATTCTCACGTTAAGAAGATTCTAACAGAATCAGATGCTATTCGAACGTTTTCGAAAATCAGTGAACCAAACTTCAAACTCGCTCTTTAGATCCCCGCACTATTTGAAAGAGTTTTTCGGTAGGAAGCAGTGTACTCATATCTGCCACACAGCTTTTGCAGCAAAGGGAAGTGACAAAGATTTCTCTGAGTGACCTGCTGTTAGTAAAAATTGCAAATGAAATGAAGATGTTGTCTGGCTAAGTGTGAAGTGCTAACTGGAATCGGTCTTTAAACTATTAGCCTTCAGATACGGCGTGAGAAGACGAATTCTGACATTGTTGTTGCCTCTCTGTAGTGTATTAATAGGACCTGTACATAACTTTTTTCTTTGCACATGGAACATCAGAGAGAGACTGCTGAGCACATGGTTGTGAGAATCCCTGCCTGCCCCACTCACTCTTCCTGTTACAACACTGTGTGGGAAGAACATAGAATATAATATTAGCTCCCCTTGCATGCAAAGACTGTGCCAAAATGCAAGCAGTGGTGCGCTGCTTAACATACACAATGCTTCAGAAAGTGTCACCCCATAATATTCCAGGGTCGTGTTGACAATGAAACTACTGTACACAGTCAGAAATATGTGCGGCAATGGACTCGAATGACAAGACCAGCGTATCAGCACCGCACATTTATGAAAAAAAATGCATGATGCTCAGAAAATATACTAAAAATGTATGGACATATACTGTAACATAAACAACTGTAAACAAACTGAAACTTCGCACAAACTACACTAAGAAATAAAATGCCTTTATAAGCTTATACATTTACATTTACCACAACAAAACTTCCGCGTCAACGAAATTTTTAGTCTGTTCCGTAGTTACTGTAGACATTGACATTGACGTTGTGACTGGTGTGTGACTGTAGACATTGACCTAATGGCCTTTGAAGCATCTCTTGTAGCAGGCCTTCCTTGACTATTGAGTAAATGGACTATAGAGAGCTTGAAAGACGTGCCAGAAGAGGTGCCAATGAGAAGAACAAAGATGAGACAGAAAGAGAGCCATTAATAAGAAGAGTGAACATGAGACAGAAGGTGCACCCATGAGTAGAAAGATGAGACAAGAAGAGCACTAAGGAAAAGAACAAAGATGAGACCAAAGAACACCATATATGAGAAGAACAAAGATGAGACAAAAGAGCTCCAAAGAAAAGAACAATGATGAGAGAGAAAGAGTACCATTAATGAGAAGTGTGAACATGACACAGAAGGAGCACCAATCAGAAGAAATATGAGACAAAAAGAGTGCCAAGGAAAAGAACAAAGATGAGAAAGAAGAGGTGTTAATGAAAAGAACAAAGATGAGACAGAAAGAGTGCCATTAACGAGAAGAGTGAACATGAGACAGAAGGAGCACCAATGAGCAGAAAGATGAGACAAGAAGAGCGCTAAAGAAAAGAACGAACACGAGACCAAAAGAGCACCTTAATTGAGAAGAACAACGATGAGACAAAAGAGCTCCAAAGAAAAGAACGATGATGAGAGAGAAAGAGTGCCATTCAAGAGAAGAGTGAACATGACACAGAAAGAGCACCAATCAGAAGAAAGATGAGACAAAACGAGTGCCAAAGAAAAGAACAAAGGTGAGAAAGAACGGGTGCTAATGAAAAGAACAAAGATGAGACAGAAAGAGTGCCGTTAATGAGAAGAGCAAAGATGACACAGAAGGAGCACTAATGAGAAGAAAGATGAGACAAAAAGATCGCCAAGGAAAACAAGGAAGTTGAGACAGAAGATCTGCTAACGAGAAGAACAAAGATGAGACACAAAGAGTGCTATTAACAGAAAAGCAAATATAGAAAGAGCACCAATGAGAAGAATGAATCTGAGACAAAAAGAGCAGCAAGGAAAAGAACGTAGATGAGACAGAAGAGGCACAAACGAGAAGAAGGATGAGACAGAAAGAGTGCCATTAATGAGAAGAGCGAAGATGACACAGAAGGAGCACCAATGAGAAGAAAGAGGAGACAAAAAGAGCGCCAAGGAAAAGAATGATGAGGAGATCAAAAGAGTGCCATAAATTAGAAGAACGAAGATGAGACAAAAAAAGCACCAAGAAAAAGAACGAAGATGAGACAGAAGATGTGCCAATGAGATGAAGAAAAATGAGACAAAAAGAGTACCATTATAGAGAAGAGTGAACATGACACAGAAGGAGCACCAATGAGAAGAAAGATGAGACAAAAAGAGAGCCGAGGAAGAGAACGAAGATGAAACCAAAAGAGCGCCATGAATGAGAAGAACGAAGATGAGACATGAAGCATGCTAAGGAAAAGAACGAAGCTGAGGCTGGAGCACCAATTAGAAGAACGAAGATGAAAAAAAAAAAACAGTGCCAACGAGAAGAATGAAAATTAGAAGAATAAAGATCAGACAGAAGGAGTGCCATATTTGAAATATAGCTGCAACAAGTGGCCCAACACAGCAGACTATAGGGAGGGCTTTGAAATGCCTGTGTGGCAAGGGGATTCAATTAATTATAGTACTTTACCTTGAAATAGTTAGTGAAAGATTGATTGATTTGTGGGGTTTAACGCCCCAAAACCACCCTATGATTATGAGAGACGCTGTAGTGGAGGACTCCGGAAATTTTGACCACCTGGGGTTCTTTAACGTGCACCCAAATCTGAGCACACGGGCCTACGACATTTCCGCCTCCATCGAAAATGCAGCCGCCGCAGCCGGGATTTGAACCCGCGACCTGCGGGTCAGCAGCCGAGTACCTTAGCCACTAGACCACCACGGCGGGGCATAGTTAGTGAAAGATGTTAACAATTCCTGATAACTTGCTATAAAGCAAGATACACACTATGATAAACTGAGATCTTCTGGAATGATATTCGGGATGATTGAGAGCCCACTCACTCATCTTGGTGCTGCTTGTTGAGAGTCAGGCACTCCATGAGTCGGGGCAGCAGTTCCACTTGCTGGCATGAGGGCAAACGGGGAAATCCCATGCGCAGGTACACGAGAGCGAAGTTGACAAAAAATGAAGACTGCTGCTGGCCGCCAGCAGAGGCTGCATAATGAGTAAGCAGGGCCTCCACCGGCAGCTGCACCTGTGGCCGCGATTTGAGTCGCTTGTTCACATGCACCAGCAGCTCCATCACCTGCACACAAAAAACGGGTGGCTTGCGAAAAAACACAAAGTCGTGAACAATTGCAAGGGCTGACCATAATTACCATAGCTCTAATGACTACACTTTCATTCAATCTGTATAAACAAAGAGGACTGTGAGGGTTGGTAAAAGAAAAATAAACGTGAACCAACTTTCCATCACGCCTTTCCTTTTATTCATCCGGACACTCGCATTCTGGTGCCCCATTACTACTTAGCCTCGGTAAACATACCTCTACTGCAAATGCAGAGGCAGGGAATATTGTGAAATGTTGGTCAGCTCTAATCGACGTTTTTAGATAGCTTCAGTTGGCAAAGCGCGCGGCATTTCATTGGCATGGGGCGGCTTACCGCAATCGCCAACCAGGCGGTGGCGCTGCGGTAGCGTTAGGATCGATCTCGGCGCGTCGTCTGCTACTGCTACAACGGGAAAGGCGCCGACAGGAGACTACCGCAGCGGTTCAGCGGTTAACTCTTTTATTCGAGAAGCAGAAGTGAAACTTCGCTCGCATTTAACCTTTACCGAAAAAAGCTTTTTCATTTTTTTTTGCAACATTATAACTAGAAACAAACAGCACGTAAGACATGACAAAAAGAAAAGGCAAACTGTACAGCGCGCTTACCTTCATTCCTGTTCGCGTTGTAGCCGGCGTTTATTTTTGGCCAGTATATGTGCAAATCACCCCAGGATCCCGTAATGCTCAGCGATATTCTAACCTTACCAGAACACGTGTTACACGGCCAAAATCCGCTGAAAAGCTTAGAAAATCAAGAACCAGCAAGGAATCCAGAAAAAAATTGTTTTGTAATTTTTATTTGACGTCATGAAACTGAAAGCAGCAGCTGCATTATTTACAGGGACATATTTACAAGGGTTAAGTGGTCAGAGTTGTACTGCAAGCCTTCACATCAGCTTCACTTTCTTTCTAGCAGATGCGACTTTTTCTGAAGAGCTGAAGCTTTTACAAGTATCTCTGGCAGCGAAATGCAGTCTTAGCACTATGTAGGAGTGAAGAAGCTCTGCCGTAGTGGTGGCCTTGTGAACAGAACAGCCCACACTAGTAATGTCGCAGTCCTCAAGAGCGTCAAGGAGGCTCCAAAATGTCTCTGAGCAGAGCCGGTTCTTTTGCAGCTCATCCGAAATTTTGGCTTCGATGCCTCGAAACATACAATTTGAGGCTGATGGCAATTTGAGGCTCTCGTGCTTAAATTCCCTCTCCAAAGTGAGAAATGCCTCCGGGCACTCCGCATTTTCGGACTGGATATTACGTACACAGTCAGAACACCTCTGATGCTTGAGGTAAGAGTGGACAAGATAGCCGCACAAGTAGTAAATAACACAGTCCTGTGCTGCTGGTGTGGAGTACCCATGATCAGGTGGTGTCGGTGTTTCATTCTGTGCAGTAGAAGAGATTTCTGCCAACTTCGCTCGAATAGCCTCCTGGAGTCTTTCGTGGGACGACAGTGTGTCCTTTCTTCCCCTTTTCATGCTGTTTGCAACAGTGGCAAGCACAAAAGTCTGCTCATAACTCACGTTCCCAGTGACACAAGTGCTGATTGGTGTATACAGGCTCAGAAGCCTATATATGTGTGCAAAGCTGATTAGGGTAGGGTGATCCTCATCCCCTCCATAACTTCTTGTCACACCAAAAAATTTCTGAAAAAAAAGGAAGACGCGTTTTTTTAGAAAAGCAATGTGCGCAAACATAAACGTGATAAACAAAAAGAACAAACGGCTTACCTCTAAAGGATCCTCGTTTAGTTTGCCCGTGAGCACATAACGCGCTCCTTTAGAGAGAAGATCTGTTATGAGGTCCCGTACTGATGCAAGCGTAACACGAAGTGACTCCATTGTAACTTGCGATGCAAACATCACTGTCCCATTGGTGATATGGTTTTCCTCGGTCGTATTTACAGCATCAAGGAACTCCTGGATGACCTTCAAAATAAGCCGGTGAGCAAATTAATTTCACAACAATGCAACAGATGTTATGAAGCATTATCTGTACTATTTCACAACAGTGCAACAGATGTTGTACAATATTATCGTTACCTCAACTTCCTTTGACGAACTTGTTATTCCAAACTTCGGAAGCTTCACATTCAGGGCATCGAACAGGTTGTTCACCATGAGGGTGAATTGAGCAGTTCCATGGCAGTCTTTCAGGTCAGGCTCCTCTAACCACAGGTACACTTTTAACCTAATGGCAGTGCTTCGGCTGAAAAGCTGAGAACAACATATATGAAAAATTTGCGGCTTTATTTTTATAAACAAACATTTGTGCATATTAACAAGCAGTTGTCAACTATGAAAGGCATTTAAATATGGTAGATAGGGCATTTTTGTTTACCTGTACAGCCAGACTCACGTTCATCTTTCGCAGATTGTCTGGGCTCACGTGCTCTTTTGTCAATTTCAGAACCACCCAAAGCTGCTGTTTCCCATCTACTTCTTGGAGTCTTCGATAGGGGTCAAAGTTTATTTTGTGTTCACCGATCTGCAATTTTTAAAAACAACAGTGAGACGAAGAAAGGTGTTCCATTGCAGAAGCCACTCCTTAATTCAGAGTTGCTCACTCATGAAAAATAAGTAAAAACATTCTAATCTACTTACCATGCCATACTTGTGGCGCATGAGATGGTTCCTTATGCACTTGATGATGTGCGGTACATAGCACAGGAAGTAGGGCTGCTGATCAGGTACACAAGGATGGTCAACTCTGTGTTTCGGTTCATGAAGCTTGCCCTTGATACCAAAACATGACCACATGGCCTTGTTCGTGCTGGCACCATCACTGATAACAGCGACGACTGTTGCATTGTTGCACTGCAAAATGGCTTCTAAAACAAGCCTCGCTAGCACTCTTCCAGAGGCTGCATGTCTCGTAGCAAAACTTGCAATTGGTTGCACCCAGGAGTGAAATAAAGGCACAAACATGAGTACCAAAGCGTGGTCGGCTGTTGTTTCTGAGTCATGACCATTTCCATAATCAACGAAGCCATCAACCTTGTAAGTACTCTTGTTAAATGCGACAACCTCTCGCACCTTCATCTCGTCCAGTACTAGCGTTCCGTAGCATTGTACTCGTGCTTTATTCTTCATAAAGGCCCCAATACTGTCAAGAGATACCTTGTTGAAGCCGAATTCACATGGCATTCCTTTCATCATTTGTCTCTGCCTTGTGGTTGTTCGAAGTGGCATGAGCTTCATTTTTGACATTAGTCTATAAGCTCTTGGGCTTGAAATTCTCAATAGAAGACAAGTCATGAGCCATTCCTGTTCATAACGCCTTCCTCGCGGCGATTTCGCCTTTGCGACTTTCAATGCTGACCTAAAGGCAAGTTGCTGTGCTTGCGGAAGACTTTCCACTGCTTTTTCAACTTTGCTCGCTGAAACTTCAGACAAACAGCGTCTCAGTGTAGACACTTCTCTTCTAGCTCTTTCGCGAAACACAGTGGCCCTGATGGCCTTTTTCTTTAGGTTTTGAATTTCACGTTCAGCCTTCCGTTTTGTGCTTTTTTAGGACGACGCTTCATTCTATCACCAAAGTTTTTTTTTGTTTTTTGCATGGAGGGCACAAGTGCTCATTTGACAGCACCATGCATTTCTTGTTTCGCCATACACCCTGCCTTTTCATGGCTTCCTTTGACGATGAAATACGTGGAAACAGCTCACATTTACACCCAGGGCAAATCTTGAGCGCATCGATGTAGCGAAGACACATTGTTAAATTCTTCTGGCTTGTTAGCAGGGTCGGAATGTTTCCATCTTTCTCGATGTAGCTGCACGGCGGGACAAGCACACCTCTTGAACTAACTTCAGTCGCCAAGTCTTGCCGGATCACAACCGCCTTTTCAATGTACACAACGCCCCCAGACTCTTCGAGTTTGTAGAAGGTAACTTGGATGATAGAAGCCCTCACATTCCACGAATTAAATGTCGGGCTGCCCTGCACAACAGCAAGCCAGGGCGCAGTTCCTAGCGTGATAACATCGGTGCATTCATCAACATCCATGCCGTCACAAGCGCCAGTTTCGTCGTACAAATATTCATCACTTTGGCAGGAAGAAACTTGGGCGAAAACCACTGACCTCACTATGAGTGGCTTTCTTGCCGACTTCGGCACCGTTGGTTTTGAGAGATGCTTTGGTACGTTCGGAAAAATTCGAGGCACAGCGCGCTCCTTCAGTGTCCATCTGCCGCACGGTATCGTTACGGTTTGACCGTTCACTGTGTGCTCATAGCAGCTTATGATGTCTACAGGCTCGAAATGAATGTCACAGACGTACGTTTTTGGCGTTACCTTAAAGTTCTTCCGTGGAATTGCGTTTTGCCATGCCTTCAGTAAGTCAGGGTCCTTTGGGGGCTTGAAAAAATGTCGCGGTCCGGGATTTGCAGCTGCCGAAGCATACCCCGAACGACAGCCGGGCTCGGTGCACGTCGGCATGTCGAGAATCCGCGCTGACACTCCACGGTATCCACTGCAAAGAGTTCATACCACTGTAGAACGTGTCCAAGCTGGAAGGACAGGCGTGATGAACGTGCGAGCGCCAGCAACACACCAAAAGCACGTGTCTTAAGCAAGCGTCACCGCCACTCACTGCTTCCCAACTGATCTCAACGGAACGCCAGCGCCACCTTTCACAACGGCGACAAAACGACGACGCCTCTCGAAGCGAGTTTGCAAACTGAAAAGTGTCTAAAGACGTTGGCTCTAATGTAGTAAGCTCTAGTCAACACTCTAGAAGGTTCGTCTTTTCTGGAACTTCAGAAAACACGTCTCGGAACCCAGCCTAGAAATTGCACAAGTTGGCACGCTGTGCTTCGTCTAACTTACTTCCGAGAGTCACCGACTCAACATCTCTCATTTACATTAAATGTGGGCAAAGGTGAATCTCATTCTTCTCTTTCAACAACGATGAATGATGAAGTCTGACTTTCGGTTGCTGTCCCTTGTAACACTTGAGCATTTTTATGTGAAACAGTTTTGTGGTGTGTCCAAGGTCCAACAAACAGTCATGGTCACTCTTTTTTACTGTAACTAGAATTGGCCCCTTCCAGTGCTTAAGAAGCTTTTTTTTTTTTTTTGCTAGCTGGAAGTAATATAGGGGCCCGGTCACCATATTTGATTTGTGTTTTGGAGATTCAATCATAATACTTCAGCGTGTTTTGAGGTCGGGCCAGATTCTCTTGAGCCAGTTTCAAAGTGTGTTAAAAACGTTTTCTCAGATCAAGCACATATCCGTAGGTGGTCGTGATATCTTCCCCTAGGTCTTCCCCTATCCAGAGTTCCTTGAGAATATCCCAGGGTTCTCGGATGCGCCGGCCGTATATTAATTGAAACAGTGAGAAGCCTATACTGGCCTGAGGTACTTCTCGATAAAGAAATAACAAAGGTGCAAGGAATCAGTCCCAAGAATTCGGCTTCTCTTCACATAATTTGTGCAACATCTGTTTCAAGGCGCCATTGAATCTTTCGACCAAGCTGTTGCATATAGGGTGGTAAGGCGTTGAGGTCAAATGATGAATAGCCGTAAAAGCATTCACCTTTTCTATGAGCTCTGACGTGAAGCAAGATGCTTTATCACAGAGAATCTCCCATAGGAATCCTATTCGGAAAAACAATTTCCAGCAGCCTATATGTTACCGTCGCTGAATCGATTGCGGGCAAAGCCACTGCATGCGGGTACTGGGCGGTGAAATCCACTAGGGTAAGAATGTACCAGTTGCCCAATGACAGGTGATAGTAGAAGAGAAAGAAGAAAATAAATGTATGAAACGTGAGCTACAGAAGAAATTGGGGAAAACGTTGGCCAGGGCAGAGAAGACGGCAGATGATCTGGGCAGTCTGGGTCTTGGCCCAGTCATTGAGACCTTGCAGGCTCCCCTGAGTTCCTGCCTCGGCGAGCAGCCGTCTTCATGCTCCAGGCATCCAGCTGGCTGGCAAGCTGCGCAGTGAGCTACCGGGACGGGCCAGTGTCATGCCGCCGACCTTCAACGAGCCCGGGCTCTCAGCTACCCGTCTGCCCTGGCAACTGCCCACGGGCCACAGGTGGCTCGGCGTTCCAGGAGTGCCGCCGGCACGTGTCTCGTGGCTAGCAACGAGGTTCACCAAAAAAGCAACCCGCAACATCGCCGCCGAGATACACATTAAGTGACGGGCTTGTGACAGCGTCTGACAATGAGTGTAAGCCACCGCTAGTTCTAAACAGACGTTAATAGATGCTGTGTGAGGGATGCTAGTAGTTTTGAGCATAGGACATCGATTTATTTGTTAAGTCATATGTTTCTATTTCTTCTGAGTACGTACATTGGTTTGTATGTAATGAAGGTCGTGTTTATGTTACCCCTTTTTGCCTTCACGTGTACATTCCACTTGCACAAGCCAAACGTGCCAGGCACATAAGCACAAATCCTGACACCCTTCTTTGAAATCAGGATCACTAGTCCAGCGATGTCTACGGCGGCATGTTGGAATGACGTGTCTATCAAACTTGGAAAGTAAAAACAGCACAAAATATAGACAAGGACAGAGGAAGAGACGACACTGCGATGAACTCGCAACTAAACTTTATTGAAAGATACAAGCACATATATCAAGCATTTGACCCGGTCACGTGGACAACCAAAGGCATCTGCGCATCAAAGCAAATGAGGTATGAGACAAGCCTATTCATATTGATAATCAACACGTGTGTAACAATCCCGTAAAAACACAACAAACATGCCTTCTTACTTGCCAAAAACTTACGGAATGGTCCCCAACAAACTAACAATCACTTTAGCATGGCAGAGCTGAACCCAGGTACCGAACTTCTTTTTTACCAAGGGCCACAGACGGCTTGCTTACACACATTTCCCCCTCCTTTTCAATGAAAAAAGCCTCCATCACTTCCCTGGTGCACTTATCTCAATGTCCAAATAAACAAGTGGCTTTATCTGCCAACGGTTGGCAGCCACACTCCCTACAATGAGCTGGCAGGTACAACCCGCCGGCAGCCGTTAAAGAGGTTAAGTGTTCTTTTAGTCTTACGTTAATGCACCGCCCGGTTTGTCCTATGTAACCCCCCTCCCCCCCCATGACAATGGCAATAGATATACAACACACGTGTACACTGAACATATCTATTTTTTCTCTTTTCCCGACAGTATGAGCAGGTCTTTCGTAGACCCAACCCCATACCTTCTGGCCACATTTTTCAAGCAATGTGAAAACTTGTGCACATAGGGTATCACAACCGGTTTCTTTTCATTGCGCTCGCGCTCTGTTCTCCTGTGCTTATCACTTACGACTTTGACCCACTTGATTAGCTTTTGACAACTCCTGAATATTTCCGTATCAGGGTAGCCCGCCAACTTCAGCCTCTCAACCTGGCTCATGAAACTTTCTTTCAACGCATGCGTGCAGGTTTTCAGTAGCGCACTCCGCAGCGCAGCATAAATAATGCCGGACTTAACTATCTTAGAATGGCCTGAGGTCAACGGCAAGATACCCTTTACGGATCGGGGCTTGTACTGCCAACACTAAATGTTCCTCGTGAAACCACATTCTAATATCAAGAAACTGAAGCTCTCCTTTTTCAGGCAGCTCATAGGTGAACTTGAGCCCATGGCCAGAATCCTTAAAAAAAGTTTAATATGTTAGCTCTCATGCTATGCTGACTGTTGGTTTTCATTACAATAAGGAAATCATCAACATACCAAAAAATGCGGCAGGACATATTCATCAATTTATCGGCAATGGACCTGTCGACTTGTCCCAGGAAAATATTCTTTAAAACTGGTGCCACCCTAGATCCGATGCAAACACCAAATTTCTGGACATAAAAGTCCATTTTCCACTCCACACACATTGATCGCAAGTAAAACGTCAGCAATTCCAGAAAGCTTTCCAAGGAAACACCGCAACTGTTAATCAAATTAATTTCGTTATTGTCCTCAACCACACGACTTAACACTCTGCAGAAGTTCAACATGCGGTAAGGAGTAAAACATGTCCTCAATGTCGATGCTGAAAGCCGAACAAGAACCCAGGTTATTAATTTTGAGAAAATCTACACCTTCAGAGTTCTTTACTACAAAAGGGTTGACTACATTGAGGGCTTCCAGGTGCATCTGCAAGTAACACGACATCTCAGACAGCCAAGTCGCTTTTTCAGATACAATGGGCTCTGACCGGGGAATTAAATTTATGGGTTTTCACGGAGACAAAAACTTGCAAGTTTAATTCTTTTGCCCTTTTTACTCTACTGACAAGACCGGACAGATTCCTATCTTGCAGCATAGCAATAGCTTGCTGTTTCTCCTTTCCTGTTTTTATGTCCACTTTTTAAATATTCTTCAATACGGCTGTCTCAGATTTTTCATTGTAAACGCCCTCATTCATGACCACAAACATTCCTCCCTTATCCGACAAACAAACCCTAAGCCCATTTCCCTGTAAAAATTCGACGACCAACTTGTCAGGGGAGAGCCTTCGCCTAGCCAATGACGTTTGAGTACATACATCTATACAATCAGACACGCACCTTATCTGCTCGCCTTCAGGCACATACTGGGAAATGTTCCTTGAAAAAGCTACTTTTTCCGCCGATGGAACATTCGGTTCAAACGCGAACTTGGGTCCCAGTTTTAAAACCTTGTTAACGTCCTCCGGGACACAACAATCCTCCGGAACACAACATAACATCCTCCGGGACACAAGTCAATGCCACCTGTTGCCATTACGGCGAGTGTGGAACCCTTTTTTTGCCTGTTTTGGTGTCATGAAGTATGTGATCACATATTCAAATTACCCATGTGTGTTCTAGCGGTTCCTGGGTAGATATGAAGTGTCAATAACCCGTCGCACATACCCGCATGCCTGTGGCACACACCTGCTGGTGGGCTTGTGCCACTGCCTGGTGGAAAGTGTTTGACAACATATGCAACCGGATTATGACATCATTCATGTCATGACCAGCGAGTCATATTCGTCAAACCATTGGGTTGGGCTAGGGTTGGGCTAGGGCTAGGGTTGGGCTAGGGCTAGGGTTGGGCTAGGGCATTGGGCTAGGGTTTTCCAGCCAAGGTTGTCTTTAATTAATGAGATCCTGCTTTCATAGTTGTAATTACCAGAGACAAGCCTGGCTGCACGATTCTGGATACGCTCAAGTTTATTTACAAGACAGACGGTGTCTGGGTCCCATGCTGCGCAAGCATACTCGAGTAATGAACGAATGTTCGTATTATAAAAGGTATTCTTTAACGCTCCTGGGGGCTTTGTGAAAATTGCGTCTAATGAGGTTAAGCATTCAGGAAGATTTTAATGTAACATGTTCAACATGCCTAGTCCATGACAGATTTTCTGAAAAAGAAACGCCAAGGCATTTGTAATGCTGTACCCATTCAAATGATGTATCGTCCAAATGATAATCCGATCTCACAGGCAAACGCTTGCGAGTAAAAGATATAAACTGACATTTAGTACTATTCGAAGACATACACCATGTGAAACACCAAGTTTGAATTTTGTTTAAATCGGTTTGTAGGCTAATGACATCGTGTTCGTTTATTATGTTCCTATAAATGGCGCAGTCATCTGCATATAATCTGACATTGCAATGAAGACCCTACACAATATCATTGATATATATCAAAAATAACAAATATCCCAAAAGAGACCCTTGAGGCACACCTGAAGTAACTGTTAACATGGTTTGGGTCTTGGTTTTAGTGTTTCTTACAGTTTGCTGATTAGTTCATTTGTTCGACGAGTGCTGTTAGCAGGGTGCAATTTTACTGCTTGTAATTAAATCCCTTGTGATGTGCCATTAAGCAATGTCTCCTTTTGTTTTCTGAACAGTAGCACCCCCAGAGATCTACAACTGCCCTGAACTTTATGAAGCAGTCTTAAGAAAAAATGAATAATGAGGACTGCAAAAAAAAAAAAAAAGAACACCAAAGGGGTACAGACCTTCTTGCGAATGCTCTCATGGGGGCTGCTCAGTTTGCCCAAGACAGGAAGCAGAAACTTGGAAAGCACAGACTCAAACTGCTCGTCACTCTCGGCCGTCACAAAGCGAAGAAAAACACGCTCCACCAGCACTGCAATGGACAACACACACTGCTCCTACATGTTTGTTCTAAGAACCTGAAAAAAATTTAACACTCCTTACTAACTACCGACCTTGAGTTCACTCAAGCTGCAAGAGATTTTTTTTTCTGGTCTGCGTCATTCACAAAACGTATGGGCTTGCCTACTTTTCATTACAAGAAAAAATTTATAACCTACAGCTCAAAATCAAAGGTGCAAGAAGCAACAAAGCAGAGGCCTTGTATAAACTTCCATTAGGAATTAAGCTGATGATTGATTAGTGGAGTTTATTGGCACAAGGGCCAGATGTGGCCAAAGAGCGCCAGAGCGATGATGTTCAGTGCAATGTTCAGTGTAGATAAAACAGATGTGACGTGGCTGTAAATGGGCCTAAAAACAGTCGCTGTAAGTGCATAAAAAAATATATATAGTAAAAATATGGCAATGACAAATGATGTGTGCTATGGAAACACAAAATGGTTTAAAAGTGATATGTATGTGAAATAAAAACTTGGCATGGAGCACCAGCGCCTCGACAGAGCCCTTAAAACAAGAGCATGGAGGCCTGGGCTCATTGAAAGCTGCTATCACAGCGGCATCCTCTGAACAGAGAATGCGCTACGAACCTGTTGGGCTAAAAACATTCAATGTTGGGCTAAAAACATTCAATACTACATCCTTTAAAAAGCTTAAAACTGATTTTGCATCAAAGAGCGGCTCTTCACCGAGAAACATAATCGGATGCAGAGGAAGATTATAGCCGTATGCTAAAGCAAAATATTTCTTTCTCTCACTTTCAGCTTCAGGACACTCCAGGAGGACGTGGAGGACGGTTAGCCTCTCACCACATCTACCACAAGTAGGAGGTTCATCGCCAGTCAGCAGAAAGCTATGGGTACCATAAGTGTGTCCTATTCTGAGGCGACAGAATAGGACATCAGTTCGCCGTGTTCTTGTAGCGGAGGGCCAGTAACCCAACCGCGGCTTAATCAAGTGAAGCTTATTATTTGTTTCTGTGTCCCACAAGCGTTGCCAGTGGTTTCGCAGTTTCTTACGTAGGAAGGGTTTTAGGTCTGTTGCAGACAGTAGCGGTGGAGTTAATAGCGCGCAATATAATTGAGGTGGCCATTTCATCAGCTAGCACATTGCCCTCGATGCTTCTATGGCCAGGTACCCAGCAAATAGTAACAAGCTGGTTGGACATGTACGCAGTACATAGGACGGAATACAGCTCAGTTATTACCGGATTTCTCAATCTGAAAAGTGATCCTAATGCATTTACGACGCTTAATGAGTCTGTGAATATAATTGATTTTTGTATGTTTGATTTCCGTATATGCTTCACAGCCGACAATAGTGCATAACCCTCAGCCGTAAATATGCTTATTTCCGGGTGCAGCACACCGGATTCCGAGAAGAATGGTCCAACGGCTGCATAAGCCACCCCTGCATGCGACTTAGAAGCGTCGGTATAAAACTCTGCGCATGAGTACTTAGACTGGAGTTCTCGGAAATGCATTTTAATATGTGCTTTTGGTGCGTGTTTAGTGATCTCGACAAATGAGGTGTCACAGTGTATAAGCTGCCACTGCCACGGGGGTAAAAGTATCGCTGTGGGCGTAGGACAAAGTTCTAGCAGCGGAACACCCATTTCTTCACTTAAGTTTCTCACACGCAAAGAGAACGGCTTTCTCACTGTGGGGCGATTATGGAAAAGGGTGGCAGCGGTCATATCGTTTATAGTTGAATAAGATGGATGCTTGATGTTTGCGCGTACCTTTAAAAAATATGTGAAACTGCTATAGGATCGCTGCAGGTGAAGTGACCACTGATTCGACTCTACATAGAGGCTCTGGATCGGACTGGTCCTGAAAGCACCAGTTGCAAGTCGGATACCCAGATGGTGAACGGGGTCTAGGATTTTTAATGCACTTGGTGTTGCGGAATGATAAATTATAGAGGCATAATCAAGGCGTGACCCGACAAGGCTTTTGTATAACTTCAAGAGGCACTTTCGATCACTACCCCATGTTGTACGTGACAGGAGTTTTAGGACGTTCATCGCTTTCAAACATTTCATTTTGACATATTTAATATGGGGAATAAACGTCAGCTTAGAATCTAAAGTGGTTCCCAGGAATTTCTGCTCGCTGCTCACAGAGAGTTGGTCTCCCTTGATCGCAACATTTGGTAGTGGCATTACCCCTCGTTTGTTGGAGAAAAGTATGCAAGTACTTTTCTTCGTGTTTATTTTAAAACCATTTTCATCCGCCCATTTAGAGAATTTATTCATTCCAAGCTGCACTTGTCGCTCGCAGGTAGACATATTGCATGATTTGAAACTCATCTGCACATCATCAACATACACGGAATGAAACATCGCGCTTGGAATGACTGACTGCAGGGAGTTCATTTTTACAAGAAAGAGTGTGCAACTAAGCACGCCCCCTTGCGGAACACCAGTCTCTTGGGTAAAAGTTCTAGAGAGAGCATTTCCCACTTTCACGAGAAAGGTTCGGTTAGACAAATAACTTTTAATTGTGTTTAGCATGTTCCCACGGATGCCCATAGTGGCAAGATCGCGGAGAATCCCGAACCGCCATGTGGTGTCGTAGGCCTTCTCTAAGTCTAGGAATACCGAAAGTACGAACTGCCTATGAATAAATGCATCTCTGATGTATGTCTCTATGCGAAAAGGCGGTCTGTTGTCGACCTCCCCTCTCTGAAACCACACTGAAGGGGGTCTAGTATACTGTTACTTTCTAGAAAGTGGATTAAGCGCCGGTTTATCATTTTCTCATACAGTTTGCATAGACAGCTTGTTAGCGCTATTGGCCTGTAGCTGGCGGCCAAGGACGGATCTTTGCCTTGTTTAAGTACTGGGATGACTATAGCTTCTTTCCATGACAATGGAATATACCCAGCTGCCCACATGATATTGAAGAGAGTTAGGAGTGTTTTTAGTGCTTCGGGGTGAAGGTGCTTGACCATTTCGTATGTTATACGATCAACACCTGGCGCTGAGTTGTTACAGCACGCAAGAGATGCCTTAAGTTCAGCTAATGTAAATGGGCAGTTGTAAGACTCACTGGATGGACGCTTACATTTAAGGGGCTGTCGCTCTTCGCGTTCTTTCAATTTTAAGAACGTTTCTGTATAGTTTGATGCACTTGAGACGTATTCAAAGTGTTCGCCTAGGCAGTCCGCCTGCTCCTCTAAGCTCTCACCTCGGCTATTTACCAAGGGTAGGGGGTGAGACTCCCGACCCATTAACTTGTTTACCCTATTCCAAACCTTTGTTTCGTCGGTGTAAGAATTGATACCAGAGATGTACCTATTCCAACTTTCTTTCTTTGCAAGACGACGCGTTCTTCTAGCTTGTGACTTCACCTGTTTGAAATTGACGAGGTTTTCAGCCGTTGGGTAATTTCGGAGTAATCTCCAAGCTTTATTTTGACTATTTCGCGCTTTCCGACAATCGTCATTCCACCATGGGATGCGACGCTTATTAGTCATTCTGTTAGTTTGCTTAATACATTTCACTGCAGTGTCAATAATAAAATCTGTTAGGTAAGCCACAGCATCGTCTATATTAAAATCAGCAATGTCCTCTCCATCTAAAAATGTGTTTTCTCGGAACAGTTCCCAGTTGGCTGACATGCTCTTGCGAGCGCTGCAGTTGTTTTGAGGGCCTCGCCTCTAAAGACAAGGCCTTCGCGGCCCCCAGCCTGGAGGTTGGTGGGTCTTTCTTCGATGGCGGAGCAGCACTGGCTGCAACCGCCGAGGGGGTGGATGGCGTCACCGCTGGCTCACTACACGTGTGCCAGACAGGCGCCGGGGGCCGTCGTGGCGCTGCCCCCTGACGCGCCACTTCGGCAAAGCTGGTTTCTGGCAGGTAGAACACCTGCCTTCGTGCCTCCCTAAATGAAATGTTTTGTTGTACTTTAATTGTGACAATTTTCTTTTCTTATTTCCAGCTTGGGCATGACCGTGAGTATGCGGCATGCTCCCCGTTACAGTTCGCACAGTGGGGAGAGTTTTCACAGGCATCAGATGTGTGTTCGTCAGCACTGCATTTCGCACAAGTTAGGCGGCCACGGCAGTTCTGTGAACTGTGGCCGAACCGCTGGCATTTGAAACATCGGAGGGGGTTTGGTATATTATATACGGCCTCACTCGAAGATTGATATACCCAGCCTCAACGGAGTCGGGCAGTACACCTGAACTGAAGGTAAGTATCAGGTGTTTAGTCTGGACTTCTTTGCCATCACGCCTCATGCTAATTAGTTTTACGTTTATGACATTCTGTTCGCTGAAACCCTCCAGGAGTTCAGCCTCCGTCAGCCCTAACAGGTCATCATCTGAGACAACGCCACGGGTGGTGTTCATGGTTCGGTGTGGGGTTACTATTAATTTTGTATCTGCAAATTTCGTTAGGTTAGGCAGTTTTTCATATTGTTTCTGGTCGCGGAGCTCCAACAGGAGGTCACCACTTGCCATTCTCGAAGCTTTATATCCTGGGCGAAAGATTTCTGTCAAAGACTTTGAAACAAGAAAAGATGAAATTGTTCTCACTGGTTTGCCGGGTGTGTCAGCGTGGATAACGTGGAATCGGGGAAAGGATACTCTCTGGTGACCAAAAAACTGGAATACTTCATCGGTGCGCCCTCTTTTCTGAGGGCGATCAGGGAGTGGGGGGAAGAAGCTAGCCATAAGAAAAGGTTTATTTTCGGCAGCGGCGCCACCCACCCACCATGGAGTCCTACAAGGGGACGCTGCAGGGTCTGTAAGCACAGGACCTGCAGACGCCAGCTGTACACCACCACTATAACCGAATATGGTGTATCCAAGGTAGGATAGCCACACGGGGTTAACCCTTGCCGCCAGGAAACACGGAAGTCAGCGGAAGAGAGTAGAGGACAGGAAAGATTTAAAGTAAGAGGAAAGACGAAGATGTGAGGGGGAGACAGGAAACGGCGACTGCCGATTCCCCCCAGGCGGGTCAATCCGG